AGAGAGAGAGAGAGAGAGAGAGAGAGAGAGAGAGAGAGAGAGAGAGAGAGAGAGAGAGAGAGAGAGAAAGAGAGAGAGAGAGAGAGAGAGGAAAAAAAAAACCCCAAGATGTTTGGGATCAGATAACTGCGCAGGAGAGACACACTCATATTTTATTCACATCTCGGAGGAGAACAGTGGATGTTTCCAGGGGAAGCTATTTTTCAAATGTCTGTAGACTTGATTGGGTTGAAAAAAAGTACAAATTAATTTAAACGCATCGTTGAACTTCCCATAACTTTTGCTGTGATGTGTTTTCTCAGTCAGTTGGCATTAAAACAGCTGCCATAGACCTTCTGAGTGTGGGAAAGAGGTCCCCCATGTAAGAGGATATGAACAGTGGCCCAGAGTGGAAATTCTTCCCAGATGTGTCTTTGGATTGGTCCTTCTTTGTCTCAGTAGGTCAGTCACTATTCACACCTGTCCTCTTGCAATATCAAATCACTCGGCAGCCTTGAAGTTCAGCAAATGCGGCTTTTTTGAAAACTCTAAACTCCTACATATCCACGAAGTCCCTACTCAAGTATTATCCCATCTCATTACTTTTCTTATTCTTGAGAATGAGTTTCTTCTTAGGGTGTGAAAGGCGTGTCGGCTGGAGTGGCGACAGGAGTTTGGGCAGCTCCCACTTTGGCTGACCAGGAAGCCCAGAGGACTGAGGCTGGCACAGGAATTCACTGTGACCCTAAGTGCTGCCCCCTGAGACCCACTTCCTTCAGTAAGGCCCCACCTCTTAAAGGGCCCACGACCTGTACAAATATCAATACCAGAAGGAGATGAAGTATTTAAACACACAAGCCTATGGAAGCCCCCTCACCCCACTTCCCTAGAAGTCTAATGTTCTACTTTTCCTGCTCCCAAGATACCCTGGGGCACTGGGTCATTATGGTGGCTGTCTGCTCTGTGCTGCAACCACTCTCTGATGGACAGTGAGGGGACCTCGAGTGGAGGAGCCATGTCTTCTCTTCTGTGCGTATACAGGGCCTCACTGTGATGCCAGGTTCATAGTTAACACTCAGCAGATGTTTGCTCAGTCCTCGTTTGCTGCTCACACTTGCTACTTATCTGACCGTTGTGTTCTCTGTGCAGTGAGAGGTGAACCATGCCTGTGTATATAAACCAGCTTGAACAGTAAAGGTGGCTAAAATAAGAAGAGAGGATCAGAAAATTGGAACCAGAAAACAACAACAAATCAAATCAGAGCGAGGGAAAAAGAAAATTACCATCATCGTCGTCATCAAGGACGACGATGACCACCACCTGTGGGCTGATGCTTTTGCAATATGAGATTTAGCTTTGAGCTTCCTGTGCAAAAAAAGGAAACTGTTGGGTTATATGTGTCAGCTTGGCTAAAGAATTAGAGTAATTCTGTAGGAAAGATAAGGGGTTTACAATATAGAATCCCATACAACTGACATCCACAAAGTGTCAGATTTGTATCTATGTAGCACATTCTAGGGACAAATCCTCTGTTGTAGATACACTCAGCAATAAGGAGCCTTTGCAGGGGAGGGGAAGGAGATCCACCCCCGCCTGCAATGGTCGGATATGGTTTGAGACAGAGGAGAAGCTGTAAAGCTCTGAGAGCTCAAGGTGGGAAACCGTGGAAGGCTTTGGGGACACGCTGGCATCTGAATGATTACATTTTATGAACGATATCATCATTCCGGCTGGAGTTTGGAGGTGAAGGGTCTGGAGAGGTGATTGACAGCTGCGCACATGAAAAGTTTGGGGAGAATAGCGCATCTGAGAGACAGCAGGAAATCCATGAAGTCTGGTGCAGGGGGGAGGAGAGACAGCAGGGAGACTGATAGGTGTGGCTGGAATTCGAAATGACCATAGGCTCACGGGTTTGAAGACTTGGTCCCCCGGTGCTGGCCCGGCTCTGAAACCTCGTGGAACCTCTAGGAGGTAGAGTCTCCCTGGAAGAAGAGGGTCACTGAGGGCGGGCCTGGAGGTTTTATAGAGTGAAGATACAGTTAATGAACCCTTCATGTCTTCCCTGCCACGATGGACTGTATCTTCACCAACTATCAGTCAAATAAATCTCCCCTTCCTTAAGCCAGCTGTTCAGTCACACGAGCAAGAGAACTGACTAACACACAAGGCGAGCCAGCCCTTGCAAGGATCTGCAACCACACTGTAAGTTCTTCGTCTGATTTCATAGGGCGGGCTGAAAGGATAAAAACAGGGAAGGTGGGTACCCACAGAGGGCCCTGCCAAGGTATGCCCCTAAGAGAACACGCCATGTGCAACAGAGTTAGTGCAAGGGGTCTGTTGGGGGATGGGGAGAGTGAGAGAGTGAAAGGCTGTCTTGGAGTAGGGACACGAGAGAGGCAGACAGACAGACAGACAGACCCAGACAGAGGGAACAGGCAAAAGAGGAAGAAGAGAAGCAAGAGAGAGGACTGGCAGTTTTAAGGGGTGCGCTTGTCACATGGCTGACGGTGGAAAGGCACCTGGCACCAGGTGATGACGTGGCTGCCTCGGTGGGAACTAGCACAGGCAGTGGGGAGCTGTGGAAGAATTTTAAATGGACAAGTGACAGAGCCCAAGTTAAAGATGCAGGAATACTCACTTGCTGTTGTGCCCTGGGTGCGAGACCCCCGAAGAGACCACCAGGGACACGAACGCACCGAAATGCTAAGCAAGGTTTATTGAAGCAGTTCAAGCCGCTCAGCAGGGCCCTCGTCAAGCCATCCAACACAGCAGAGGCTGGAGGAGGTGCCCGCCCCTCTGCAAGCTCAGGTTTGAAAGGCAAAACCCACAAGGTTACATCATTTAGGGGTGCTAGTATGGTTACAGTTCTGATTGGCTCAAGTTTCAGGGGCTTTTCAGAATTTCTGTGTTATCTTACTTTGTAGTTTTAACCGGTTGTTTGTCAAACTTTATAGACTACCTCCGGCATTGGGACATTGTGTGGTTAATCAATTGCTACCAGATCGTCCTTCAAACATCCTGACTTTGTACTTTGACCATCTCCGGCATTGGGGCATTCTGTGGTTAATCAGTTGTTACCAGATGACTCTTCAAGCATCCTGACTTTGTCCTGGGACCTATGTCAGCAGCTCTGAGGATTTTGAAACTCAGGCCTGTTTCAAGCTGGGGTGAGGGGCTTGCTTGAAAAGGGGGTGCTTTGGTTCTTCATTTACCTCTTTATTCACCCCTGACCAAGGCCTAGCTTTCTCTGTAGGCAGCCCATGCTGGTCCTAAATTTCTCTGCAACAAGGCCAAGGGCTCTGGAAACACTGAAGTTTGAACTGACACCAATTACGCTGCAAGGGTGAAAATTAATTAAAAGTTTTCAAAGGGCTGTGTTCAGTTTTCTTCCCTCTTTTGTGTTATCAGCAACGCTGCCTTTTCTCCTGGCTGGGAGTTACTGCAGTACAAGGTTTTCATGTTGCCTGTAGGGTAATTATGTCAACTATATGAGCCATGATAAGCGGCAGTTTGTATTATTCTGTGATTAATCTCCATACATTCTGGCATTCCAATCTGCCCTCAGAAGACAAGGCTGTGATTCTCTGGTGCAGAGGGAGGACTCCGGGAGAGCTGCAAGGACTGAGGAGCTGAAACACAGGTGATTCCAGACAGGTTTCCCAGTTCCTCCAAAGCACCCGCCAACGCCAGGCCCGATCCGCCCTCCCCACAAGACCCAAGGACTCTGGTGCTTCTGGGAGACCATCCAACATCCGCAGAGCACAGTTCAAACCCTGTCCCTCCTCCACTGTCTCACGGCTGTGACCAGGTGCCCTGCAAGATGCCATTGAAAAGAGGAAGGGTTTCTTGTGGCTCACAGTTGGAGGGCGTACTGCCCATCATGGCAGGGGTGGCATCGGGAGTGTGAGGCGGCGGGGCACACCGCACCACAATCAGGAGTGTGAGGCGGCGGGGCACACCGCACCACAATCAGGAGTGTGAGGCGGCGGGGCACACCGTATCACAGTCAGGAGTGTGAGGCGGCGGCGGGGCACACCGC